AAGATGGGGGACTGAGAGGAAAGAAGGGAGAGGGCACCTTTGGGATATACAGTAAATAAATTGAAAAAAATTTCTAAAAAATAAAGTAAAAAAAGAACAAAAGACTTATGAGTATAAGTGGCATTTTGAACCTCAGACAGACATGACCTGACCAGGGAAGGTCCTCACCATGATACACTACAGTCTATTAACATGCATGTTAATATACAGATTATAAAATGCCAACACATAGGCAAACACAGCATCCAAATGACATCAGATCTGAACAGAGATCCTGAAAGTTGGAAAAGCATGGGCTGCATGTGGTACGTTAAGCCCTGAAAATGACTGATAAAAAAAAATTAGCTATATCCGGTAGAGCTATCTTTAAAAATTAGCAGAGCAATAGGGCTATTTCAACTTAAAAACAAACCAGGGCCATTTATACCCACCAAGCCAATACTGCTGAGGACGAGTAAAGAAATTGTAAACACAGAGGTGGGCTAAAGGCTCAGTCATAAGAGCACAGGGAAGCATAAATGTTCTAAGTGGAACAGAAAAACCAAGGGGAACTAAGAATACACCATGTCCAACACAGTAAACAAGTAGCTCCGAATGTTAGCAGGAAACAGAAGAGTTGCTTTTGGTCATGGTGTTTTAACACAGCAGTAGAAGGCGAACCTAACTAAGACAAAAGTAATGGCAGGAATTCAGGGAATGTTTACTAAAACAACAAAATACAGAAGCAGTTAAAGAGTTGGTTTTGTTTGTTGTTTTTGTTTTCGTGTGTTTGTTAGTTTGAGACAGTCTCACTATGTAGCTCTGGTGGTCCTGGATCTGAAGATGTAGATCAGGCTGGCCTTGAACTCACAGAGATCCACCTGTCTCTGCCTCGCTGGTGCTGGGATTAAAGGCACGTATCAGCGTATTTGCTTAATAGCTGGTTCCTTGAAAAACAAACAAACAAAACAAAACAAAAACAATTGACAAACATAAGCTGACAAAGAGATAAGACCCAAGTTAATAAAATTAGAGATGAAAAAGAAAGCATAATAAATAGATACCAAGGAAATCCTGAAGATTACCAGGGAATACTTTGAAAATTCAGAAGAACTGGAAAATCTAAAAGTAGATAAATTCCTAGACACATGTGATCAAGTAAACCAAGATGTAAACAACTTAAGCAGATCCCAGATAACCATGATGGAAGCAGTAATAATCTCCCAGCAAAGGGAAGCCAGGAGCAGAGAGTCACTGGTGAATTCTGTCAAAACTTGAAAGAGTTCACATCAGTGGTCCTCCAGGTAGTCCATAAAACAGGAAGAGAACTCACACCACTACACTTTTCTAGAAAGCCAGAATCACTCCAGAATCAAGACTGGATAAAAAAATACAACAACAAAAAATACAACAACAACAAAACATAGACCAACTTCCCTGATGAACACAGACACAAAAATTCTCAACTAAAACATTTCTAAATGGAATTAAGGGACACATTAAGAGGCTACACAGAGAAACCCTTTCTCAAAAGCCAAAAACAAACAACCCCCCCCAAACAACCCTCAAACCAAACCAACCTGATTCTCCTCAAATCCCAACAAAAACAAAAACCCCAAAAAAGAAATTGAAGATACTAGAAGATGAGAAGATCTTCCAGGCCAATGAATTGGCAGAAATCTGTTACTAAAAGTGATCTGTACACTCAAGTGTGTCCTCATTAGAATTTCAACAGCATCTTTCACAGAACTACTAAAATAAAAATCCTGAAATTGGTAAGGAGCACAAAAGGCCTCAAATAGCCAAAGCAATCCTAAGAAGAAAGGACAGAGCTAACATGATAACCAACTGCTAATTATATTAGAGCCACATTAACAGAAAGATATGGTATTGTCACGAAAAGACAATGGAAATAGGAAAGAGGACTGGAAAATAACTCCACACAGCCACAGCCTTTGAAAAAGATGTTAAAAACATGTATTTGTGAAAAGACAGCCTCTTCATTGAACTGGAGAAACTAGGTCTTCATATTTAGAAGAATAAAGCTAAACTTATACTTTTCTCCTTACACAAAAATCAATTCCAAGTGAATCAAAGCCTTTATTATAGGATTTAAGATTTCGAAACTGCTAAAGGATAAGAATCCACTATAAAGGCATGGGTGAGGACTTTCTAAAATGGATTCTAATATTACAGGATATCCCAAGAACTGACTGACTGGATTACATGAAATGAAAAACAAAAACAACCTTCTGCACAGCAAAGGAAACATGCAGTAGATGGAAGTTAAAATCTGCACCATCTGAGAGGAGATTAAGATTAGAGTCTATGAACAATCTAACCTCCCCCTCCAAAATCCAACCAACCAAAAGCAAACAAAACAACCCATCCAAACAATAAACAGGCTAATGATTCAGACAGTTCTCCACAGAAGACATACAAAAGGGCAAGGAACATTTTAAATAATGTTCAATACCCCAAGCCATTAGGGAAATGAAAAATTAAAACTACATTGAGATTCCATCTCCTGTCAGAATGGAAATCATTAAGAAAACAAAGAATGCAAGTGGAGATGGAGGAACCCTTATACAAACCGATACAGCCAATGTGGGATAGAGGTTCCTCAGATATTTAAAAAGCTAGCATGCAATCTAACTATCCCCTCCTGGGATACCTGATGGAATCTAAGTCAGACACAACAGACAAATATGCATATTTTCTGCTGCATTCTCAACAGCCAAGACATGGAACCACCAGATGAGTGGCCCAAGAAAGTCTTGGTTTCATTCAGAAAGTCCAGGTTTCATTCAGCCCTGAAAATTGAAATTCTGCCACCCAAAAAAAATGAACAAAACTAGACATCATAGTAAGTGAATCAGGCCAGACCCAAATGTTATGTTTTCTATCAGAGGAGAAATCTAGTAATGTATGAGTATGTGTGCCTATGTATGACATGAAGGCGGGATTTATGGGGGAGGGACAGAACTAGCAAGAGTGTGGGCTGGAGGAGCTATGGGGGCGGTCAGTGGGAGCACAGCACAATACTACATATGTGAAAATGTCATGAAGCTATTGCTTTGTGCAATTAGAGATCTTCGAAGTACTTTTAGAATAAATATAAAGAGCTCATTTTTAATTTCAGATTAAATTAGACATCTATTGGGAAGAATTGACATTGACAGGGACATTGCTGCCACAGCCATTTCATTTCACTTTTAAAAGTATTACATTTGCACTTGGCAGTGTTTCTGCACATTCCTTCTTTTTGCAAATGTTTTTTTTTTTTTCTTTTCCAGCTTTTATTTTGCAATCTACCATTTTTTTTTATTATAGTCAAAACAAAGGAAATCAATTATAAAATGTCACTGGCCTGGCAGTATCTAATCCCTACTATATTTCCAAATAAATTACAGTAGTAAATGGGGATGGCATGTCCATATTAATGCCAATTTTCCTTTGATGTGTCCAATGTCAATGGCCTTCCAATTAAAATTTCAGTGTACAAATGCTTAGGGAAGATCAGACAGCCTAGAGATACTGAAATACAGCCTCACAATGCTTCATAGGGTCGCCTATGGAAAGACTCACCATTTCCTGTGCGCCTGGTCAGTATTAACTGACTTGTTCTTAGCTTTGAAATGGGCTCGGCACACAGATCCATTACAGATCAATACCAATATGAACTGCATACACGGGTTGACGGCTCATGTTGCAGCTAGGGCGGGGTGCTAAAGGAATGATGAAAATCCACTTGGAATGACCTCTTGTAAGAATTTCCATTCTTTAGGATTAAAATACTTTTCATATCATCTGGGCTCACTCACATTCTTCTGGAAAAGGTTAATGCAAACCTCAAGATTGATAGGTGGTTTATACTACATGTGCCCATGGTGGTTTGGAAGTTTATTTTTGATAATTTAATATTAAATACTCTTGACTTCAAGTAGAGAAGTATTTTTAAAATAGCATAG